TTAGATGCCTCTCTATATTCTAGCTTTCTCAGAAGTTTCCATTCCATGAGGGTCTTCTGAATCTCTAGAATGTGGCGGAGCGTGACACTCTTCCTCACTTAAGCTCACAATGCCTTTATTGCGACTTCCTTTTGGCACTCGAACCCGCTTCCTTTGTTTGCTCTTGGAAAACTTGAGTTCTTCCTTCCTGGTTGGCAACTTTGTCCTTGGCTCTAGCCTAATCCAATGATCTTTTCCCTTTCTTAGTGGTAGAGCCTCCACCACTTCCCTTGGCATACCTCCTCGAGGCTTCTCTTCTTCATCCGAGTCATGAAGAACAACCAGGTTGCTCCCCTTGTCTTGTGGAATGCCTTTCTCGAATTGGATGATCGATAGCATTTTGGCTTCTTGCTTGTTAGTCCTCATTATCTGTACTAAACAAGCTTGGTTGTCTTCTATGATGCACATGCTATTGGCAAAGGGCATTGGGAATGCCCTTGCTTGATCCTAGAAGTTCATCCACAGGACAATTTTAAAATCATCCATTGGAATAACAGAGAAGTCTATGATACCTAACCATGTTCCAATGCTAGTCTTTACTCTTCTGACTATTCTGTGGATTGACCTTGCTGTTGAATTGACGACTTTGATGGATCGTCCTCCACTCATCCGCAAACCCAACCTCTTTGCTTCTTCCACGGAAATGAAGTTGTGAGAAGTGTCTATGTCCACCATTGCTCTAGTGATTTTCCCACTTATTATCATCTCCACAAAGAGTAACCCCTTTCCTTGAGGTTTTGTTGGAGCTTGCATCCCATTCAGCAATTGTTTAGCCCAACTTGTGTCGTCATATCACTTCCCTCTTCCTCTTGATGGCTTGCTAAGAGAGAGTTTAGGGTCTTCTTCTGAGGGCAATCTCTTGCCCAATGAGATCCTCCTTAAAGGAAGCAGTTGTTATGTGATTTGGCTTTGTCATATCTAGGCTTCCATTGGTCTTTCGCCTTGGATGTAGTCGATTCGGGGCGAGTCTCCTCCTTATGTTGATTCTTGTCTTCCCTCCTTTGACATGGATGCCCTTCTTTTCTTTTGGTTTTGTAGACTCTTTTGTATAGTTGACCAAGCTTTCCACAACGGCGATGACACTAGCGAGATCTTGTGCTCCACGCCTTATAAGCTAAGTCTTCACCCATTGTTGGAGTCCATCTATGAAGTTGAAAAAAGCATCCCTGTCGACATGAGAATTTCAAGAACCAGACTAGTAAACTCCGTAATATATTCTCGAATTGATCCCTCTGCTTCAGCCTTCGTAATTGGGCTCTAGCCTCATCCTCCGTATTTTCTGGATAGAACTCTTCTTAGCTCTCTCTTAAAGTCATCAAAGGTAGATATAGTGCACATACCTTTCTCAATATCTTCACGTTTTCTCCACCATAGGATAATGATGTCTGAGAGACGCATAGTAGCAAATTGTATTCTTACCTCATCATCTGTAATCCTCATTGCTCCAAAATATTGCTCCAGTCCCCATAACAAGTTGTTCACTTCCTTTGCATTGCGAACTTCCGCAAAAATCTTTGGTTTTGGAACTTCGATCCTCTTGGCTTCTAGAGTATGATAATTGATGGTTGTCGCGAGTGCTCTTTTGCATAGCGAGATATCCCCACGAATTTCCTCCAAACTAGCACGCATGTTGCTCATCTCTTCTTCATGGGCTCTTCGTACTTCTTGGAGCTCCCCTATCAAGTCCTCCCGCATCTTAGCCATTTGGTCCCTTAAGGACTCCTCCAGTTGGAGCATCATACCTCTGATCGTAGAATGGATGGTGATGTCCTCCTCGAGTCTATCAACCCTTTGGCCAAGACTCTCTATCTGGGTCTCCACGTCATTCATTGTCTCCTCCACCCGAGCAAGGCGCGAATCAAAGTCATGCATGTTCTCCTTGGACCTCCCATGTGGTTTGGATGCGGCTGGGTCTTGTTGCTCCTAACGAGTTTATTCTTGTTGAGATGTTTCCACATTAGTGGTTTTGGACTCCATTACGTGCTCTTTAATGCTCTTTGACATACATTCGAACCGAAACTCTGATACCAACTGTCACGTACTAACTTTTCTCTAGTCATCCATGCAGCTTTAGTGCTCTTCTTTAACATTAAATCAACCTAATATTCCTCACAACACTTGGACTTGTAACCACAAAACACTCTAAGAAGAAGAATAGAGAGAAGTATCGGAGAAAGAAATACTTCTATAAGAAAGAACAATTACAACCCTTGAATGCTTGGAAGCTTGGATGCTTTCTTAGGTACCCCCCTCCAACTTCTTTCTTTCCCTCCTTCCCTTTTTCCTTCCTTTGCTCCTTTCCCCCTATTTTCTTTTCTTTCTCCCCTTTTCTTCCTCACCTTTCTTTTCTCTCCCCTCAACTTTACTTTTTAAGCACTTTCCTATTTTAAATCCTCTCCAAAAAACCTGAAATTCTAATTTTATTCTTCTTCTTTATTTTAAAACCCCTTCCTAAAATTTGAAATCTCTTTTTGTTCTCTTTGCTTATTTTAAAATTCTTTCCTAAAATCTGAAATATCTTTTTATTCTCTTTACTTATTTTAGGAGCCTTTCCAAAAATCTGAAATCTTTTTTATTCTTCTTTCTTATTTTAAAAGTCTTTCCAAAATCTGAAATATTTTCTAAGTCAAGCATCGTTATAAACTGGAGGTGATGTGTTTAGAGTTGGGGGTCTTGTTTTTGATATCTGAAATCAGGTTTTAGCCTTTTATATTCCCCTTCGAGGGTTGTATCCGACGTCGAGGTGATGCTCCTATTGTCCCTCGTCAGAGGTGGTGATCGTCTCCACAGATCCTGGTGGTGCTCTTGCTATAGCTTGACTCCAACGAGATATTTATCTATCCTTCCACCCTTTTTGCTTTTGTCCACCCACTTCCCAGCCCAACAGTTGGCCACCACACCTCTTTCTCAACAACTGCTGGTTGCTATCCTCCCTCCAACCTACTGTCAGTCTTCTCCCAGCATGGCTGCAACTCCTCATACTTCATTCCAACACTCAACTTTCCTTTCTGAACAATCCATTCTTGCTTTCCACTTGCTCAGAATTCCTCCCAGCATTCAGCTGACCCACTTCCAGTCGTCTACCTTGTTGTCCAGACCTTTCCCGTCGCTGCCAATGCTTCACCGTTCGTTGTCCATCCTCTTAAAGTGCTGATGAGCATTCTCCACTACTAACCCACCTTCCCAACTTGCTACAACCACACTCCCACCTTCCAACCTACCTCCCAACCGCCCGACAAACCTTCCCGCCACTTTAACATGCCGCCTCCCTCCTCCAGTTTACCTTCCAACCCCCATCCACTGGGCCAACCTCCACCACCCTTGGGATATACTTTCAAGGTGTTGGCTTGTGCCTTTGTGTTTGTTTGTCGTTTATTTCATGTTTTGAAGAGTCTTTATAACCGATTTCAAATTCAATAATAATATTTATTTCTTTGTGGTTTGGGCTTTCTTCTACGATATCACAAAATCTCCAAATGTGTTTTAATAGCTTGATATGTGTTTGATTGAATTTGGATTGAACCAATTTTAGTATTATCAGATTCGTCATGTCGAGACGGTCAGTTTGACTATAAACTTGTTAAAATTGGAGCCTTAGATGTTCTTTAATATGAATATAAAACTTTTTTTTGCTAAAAAAATGCCTCGAGATTTATGGCAAATGATAGAATTTATTGATGATGCATGTATAAAGCTGCTTGAAGTTCATCTAGTTTGATCATGAATTTAGAAGTAAAATCAACCTTCCAACGATGTTTAAATTTTTTAAGAGGATCTAAAGTTAAATGCTTTTGTTGATTTAAGTACATGCTAAGTTTTCTAGTTGTTATTGCATGCCAAGTCGTGGAGATTAAATCGTGCTATGCTGACTTAATTCTAGGTTGACCTTACCATACTCAGACCATAACGAAACCACAATGAAATCTACAACAATAACAATAAGATGTATCCATCAATTGAGAGAACTTGTATAAAATTCTGTGTGTGTCGATTTTCTTTTTTGTTTTTTTTAAATAGGGGGCTTTGTGGAATTTACATATGTAGAACAGAATTCTTATGTATTTAAATATCTCACACCTAACCTCTCATCTTTACATACATATCACTTTGTGCTTTAAATTTATACATGAAAGCTGTATTTCACTTTTAAAAAGTGGTAATAATGCTATTTTTTATGTGATATTTAAGATTCGAGTGAAAAAGTGGTAATAGTGCTATTTTTTATGTGATATTTAAGATTCGAGTGTTGTGTGTAGTAAATATGAAGGTTTAGGTGTGAGATATATACATACATAAGAATTGTGTGCTATGTATGTAAATGCTCCTTTTTTTATATTCCATTGGTGATTGAATTAGGTTTCACATATTTTCCCACTGCTACAAATAGTGATGCTTTTCACCGTCTCTGTACAGGAAAGTGATTCATTCATCCCATCTTCTTTGGGATTTGTTCTCAACGGGATATATTTTTCTGCTTAGAATTACAATAGAGGACTCTCTCTCCCTCTCTTTTTCTCCAGCAGGGATTTTCTTGTATTGTGGAAGTTTTAGTTTCTCAGTTAGCCTTGCCTTGTACATACAAGCACTACTACTTTTTTCTGTAAAATGCTTTCATCCTTCCATTTGTGAGACTATTTGTAGCTTATTGTGGCAGATAAAGGAACTTTATGGTATGAATTATTTGTCCTTGTTTATCTGGAGCGAACAACTGAATTTAGATGGTGAATAAGCTTTTTTCTCTCATGTTACTCATGATGTATTTTGATCATTGACAAGTAGTTAATGTTTTCTCACTGAAGAAGTTTATCTTCGCTTTTTTTTTTTTTGAAAAAAAAAATGTTTAACCTTCCCGAATTGTGAGACTATTTATGTTTTCTCTGAACAGAAGCTTTTGAACAGCTTAAACTTTTGTGATATACTGAAAGAAATTAACCTCCATCATATTCATCTAATTCATGCAGATAGCAGGGAAGATTAACAAAGTAATTAGAGAAGCCGGACTTCGTGAACTGGGCCAACTGGAACAGGATCTTGTATTTGGAGATGCTGGAACAAAAGATCTGATCAATTTCTTAAGGACAAATCAGGTTATCATGCAGTAATTTTCAAATGAACTAAAATTTTATAACAATTTATGTTACTGTACATGTAAATTACCTTAGTGCACAGGATGTGACGCCTGAAAATAAGCTCCGATTATTGATGATATTTGCGGCTATATATCCTGAGAAATTTGAAGGTGATAAAGGGGAGAAGTTGATGCAGGTTATTTATCCCACTCGAGCATTTCAATTAACATGATGCATATAAATTCTCCCTGCATTGATAATAAGATGCATGTTTTAGCATTTCATTATATTTATTTATTTATTTGGAAGAGTTGCGGCTTTGCTTTCTTTTCGATTATGTGTATCAATGAATTTAAAGCAGTCTTTTTAGCCTTTCTCTAAGCATAAAGTATTTTTTTCAGTCTGAGATGAGACAAATTCCTAGGTGTACGCCATGTTACTTAATTTTTTTGTACGAAGATCCTCTTTTCATTTTTTTAATTACATACCACAGATTCATGTGATTGCGTTGTTTAAATGTTCAATTTCATATCTTTGTCATATAATATTTTGGTTTTTAAAGTACAAATTTTGTGGAATACACTGTTGTATTTTGTTGCATAACGTGGAAAATTGTTGAAACTCCTTTTTTTGAGGTTTTTGTAAACTTTTTTCTAATAGATCGAAATGAAGGTACTAAATTTTTCATGATAACAGGGAGTTTCATCAAACTAGGCAAGTATAATTACTAAGAATTTTTAAATTATTTAACATTTATGATGAACTTACTACACCCAAGAATAATATCCATATTCTTGTAATCATGTTTATTCTGATATGTTGAGAGAAGGTGAAACCATAAAATTGATGAATTTCTAGTTTTTATGAAAAATCTATGGAATAAGTCTATGGGCTTGATCATGTGTTAACTTTTATTTTTATTTTTATTTTTTTGCTTGAAATACTGGATTTTTATAAATTTTTTCTTCTTTTTCATGCGGTTCAGAATATTGCATTGGATCAATTTCAAAGCTTATGCTTTCATCGTGTGAGCTTCTTATTGAAATAATAATAAAGGCGACCAAAAATCTGCCTTGATGCATTTTACGTTATCTTTTTTAGATCTTCCTGTATTTTGGAAGTTTATTGTTTTTTACTGAAAGAAGTAAACTTGTCAATGGCCTTTTAAAGGCTGAAGGTTCCCTTTCATTTCTGGCTGCATTTACACTTTTCACCCTAGAAATATCTTTTTTTTTTCACAAAAATAAAATTTAGGAGCCAATTAAACAAGCATCTTTGGAGTCTGCTTTTGTCATACATTAGCAAATTCATGAGAAGGAAAGTTTTTCCTTTTTAACCAGCTGGCAAGATTATCACCTGATGACATGAATGCCGTGTATAACATGAGATACTTAACATTACCAGACCTCAAAAAGACGTCAGGAGGCTTCTCACTCAAGTTTGAGGTTCACAAGGTGCGTGTCTGAATCTTTTTTTTTTTTTTTTGAGAAATTTACATTCATAGCACACAATTCTTATGCATTTTCCTATCTCACATAAACTTTAATATTTACATATATATCACTTTGGAGCTTTAAAATTGTGCATTAAAAGGTGTATTTCACTTTTAAAAAGTGGAATAGTGCTATTTTGATGTGATTTTAAAGATTTGAGTGCTATACTTGTAAATATGTAAGTTTAGATGTTAGATGTATAAATACATAGGAATAGTGTGCTATGTTTGTAAATGCCTGTTCTTTTTTTAGTTATCATCGGTTTCTCTTCCCTCTACAGCCATGTTGTCGACTAATTCATTTTTTTGATATTTTTGGATGATAAAAGAAGCAAGCTGCTAGGAAAGAAAGGACTGATGAAGAAGAGACTTGGCAACTTTCACGGTTTTACCCTGTTATAGAGGTACATACTGCATTTATGTTCGTCTTTATTTTATACCAAGCATGGAATGGTTCCTAGACTTCTCCAGGCGTATATTAATTCTTTTTTTTTTTAATAATTTTGATTCTTCTTTTTCTTAACCATGACGGCCTTAAGTTTTCAAATTGTTCGGTTAGTGCAGATGACTTTTCTGGCTGTTCTTATTTTTTAGGAAGAATTGTATGCATGCCACACGATTCTGCTGTATTTACATTTCTAATACCTTAACTTCAACTTTTTCTTGTTGTCACTTTATATATGCATAAAAAGAAGCTTTTACCTTTTAAAAGTTGAAGTGGTGATATTTTTTATGTGAAATGAAAGATTTGAGTAGTATAAATGTAAAAATTAAAGTTTATGTGTTAAATTTGTGTATACATAAGTACTGGGTGGTATGTATGCTAATGCCTCTAATTTATATATTGCCTACATTAATTCTTTTTATGGTGCTCAATCATCAATCACTTCCTTTTAGGCTACTTTACTGGACTGCATTGTTCTATGATACCAACAGAGTTATCTCTAATGTCAAAAAAAATGCTTGAACTCTCAGTTTTCTTTCTACAAATGTTGATTTGTTGTCAGTAGATCATAATTAGAAACCTTCATTTGCATATTTGATATTATCTTTTTTTCTTTCATCATTATTATTGTTTTCATCATACATGTTCAGTTTCAAATGAATTGCGACAATTTGCCCTGTTATCATGCCTCGACAGGAACTTATTGAAAAACTTAGCAAAGGTGAACTACCGAATAATGAGTATCAATGCATGAATGATCCAAGCCCTTCTTTCCATGAAACATCAAATGGTACACCAGTTCGAACAACTTCCAGTCAACCTGCTCACTCTATGAGATCTAGACGCCCTGCTACATGGGCTCGGCCTCGTAATTCTGATGATGGATATTCGAGGTAATACATAATTAATCTTGTTGCCCACTTGTATTCTTGAAGATATTCATTTGTTTTCCAGCTCTTATCTTAATTTTCAACTGCTAATCTCTGATCCTTTTCAGTGATTCTGTACTAAAATATGCATCTAATGACTTCAAGCATATGGGCCAGAGGATTTTTATTTTTATAATTGGTGGAGCCACTCGATCCGAGGTGATCATTTATTTATATTTCAGTAGTTATAAAATGTTTCAGTACTACACTTTTGGTACATAATTACCTTTAACATTTAAATCTTTTAACAGCTTCGTGTAGCCCATAAACTTACTTCAAAGCTTAAGAGAGAGATCATACTTGGTTCCACAAGTATTGACGATCCTGCACAATTTATAACGGTGAGTTCAGGAACATCTACCACATATATGGAAGCTTATATGAATGACGCGAATTCCACTTAGTGATTATTTTTTGGGAAATTTACATACATAGCTTACAATTCTTATGTATTTACATTACTCATACTAAAACCTCATATTTACATACATAGCACTCTGGTGCTTTAAACCTATGCTTGAAAAGATGTATTGGTAATAATACTTTTTCTGATGTTATATTAAAGATTTGAGGGCTGTGTGTAAATATAAAAGTTTAGATGTGAGATATGTAAATACATTTGTATTGTGTGCTATGCATGTAAATTACCCTTATTTTTCCTTCCCTACGTTACAAATTCTGATTGATTCTTAATGTTAGTTGGTTTTCCTGCGATATTAAACTTAACAGCATCCTTGCATAATTCTTCTAAGAACCAAAATACTTTGTTCTCTTACTATATGCCATTTAAAGTTATCATTCCATTTGTCTCAACAACATCTCCAGTAAACAATTTGGTAGTTTACTAGGCTTTGACATGATTTAATAAATCTGGACAGGGGGAGGGAAAGAGCAAGTGATGTGTTGGGCCAACCTCAGAAGGGTTTTGTTCAAACCTATGATGCACAGATACAAACACGTGGATACTAGCACATGATACTTTTTTTATTAAAAATATAAGAGCCTAATTTGTGACGACACGTCATTATAATGTAAAAGGGCATTTACACACCAGCCAATTCTTATGTATTTACATATCTAACACCCAAGCTTTGCTTTTATATTTATACCACACAAATATTTCATATCACATCTAAAATACCACTATTTTAACTTTTAAAAGTGATGCATAAGTAAAATGGGATATACACGAACTTTGAAGTTTAATTGTTAGATATGTAAATACATAAGAATTGAGCATATATATGTAAATCTTCCTAATATAAATAAAAAAATAGATTAAAATGAAATAAATAGAACATTAAGAACAATAAAAAATAGTTGATAAAAAATTTTAAAACTTTAACATTTAAAAGCTATGGCATTAAGAACAATAAAAAATAGTTGATAAAAAATTTAAAAACTTTAACATTTAAAAGCTATGGGATTCATAAATATTTTTCAGCATATGATACAAAAAAATAAACAGCAAGTGTCTTGTTTTACATCAACACATTTAGTTTTAAATATATTTAAAATTTTAATATTAAAATATTGTTATAAAGTTTTAATTTATTAATTTAAAACATGGATATTCGACTTGTGTATTCCTTTTTAAAATATTATTTGAACCTGACACTTATATGTTATATCCCACGCATAACGATGCCATGTTGGAGGCGTGTGTCCATGTCCGATAAGTCGACACTATACTACTCCTTAATCAGGAGTGTTGGTGTGTCATAGGTCCAAACGTGGTGTAGGTGAATAAATCAGGCCACTACGTTGCTTTATATATTATGCTCACATATCTATGGTTAGGCTAGCCTTTTGAAAGCAAGCAATGGTTTGGGTTCTATTTGGGGCAATATTTTGTTTCTTAGATAACTACCTTATTTCTGTTTTTTTATAGTTTTTTTGCTGCTTGTTAGATTTTTCCATGATCTTTTTTGATGATTTTTAGAAATTTCCAGAAAGAAGAAATTTTATAATTACTCGTTATCTTTTAAAAAAATCTAAAAAGAATTGTGTAGGGGTGTGCACTATGATAAATCTAATAAATTGAACCGAACCGAACCGAACCGAACCATTTTATTGATTGGGTTTGGTTCTTAAAGCAACTGTTCGGATTACGGTTTTAAATTTTGCATATTTTGGTTTACGGTTTACGGTTTACGGCTCGGGTTAAAAAAAAAAAAACCGAACCGACCGAAAACCGCGTCTATATAAGCGGAACCGCGACGGAAGGAGCGAGTGAATTGTGATGAAGGATCATTTTTACTTGTATGATTGTATTTGTATGTGTTTTTTTTTTTTAATATATCAAAGATTTAAATTTTGGTTTATGTAGAACCAAACCGATCAAATACAGTAAGACTGGTTCGGTTATTGAAGAATTTTTTATTCGATTGATTGGATCATGAATTTCTGTTTGCTAAATCTTCAAACAGATTCATCCTAACCGACCGATTGCACACCCCTAGTTATGTGATTGCTTTTATGACCAAATGGACATTTAATTGTATCGAATTTGGGCCTGGACTGTGAAGCCCCCTCAATTGTCAATGTTCTACTTGCTAGGAACATCAAGACATGACGAGTTCAAAATCTCTCCAAATCTTTCTCCGAACCCAAAATATGTTTGGTTTGGTCAATTAAGAATAAAAAGTTTATCAACTGGCTGGTAATAAAAATCCCATCAGTAACACCTTCACTAACAAATTTGGTTGTCTTAGTAGTTTGTCTTTTGAAGTGCACAAAACTAATGCCTCTCATATGAAAGGTTTTATATTGAAGATGTGACTGCTTATATTTATGGTTGTAATCAAACCGAGTCTGTCATAGTATGTCGTGGTTTGGACTTGGCGATATTATAAGTTGCTCATATTCTCGAGCTTGAGTCGGGCTTTCACATAAATGTTTATACTTTGTTTGTTTAAATTTTTTAGAAATTGTAGTTAACTTGTTGTCATGACCCTGTTCGGGTTTTGGAATTTAACCAAAGCGGGTACAGATGATTAGACAATGAAAATTAAAATTTTCTATACTCATTTTTTATAACTAACATTTAAAAAATGAAAAATTCACTAAAGAAAGTAAATTAAAACAGTACAGTTAAATTTACCTCATTACTGGTTGTCTACGCCATCTATAAACACTTTCTCTTCAATTATTCATCGTTTAATCTGATAATTTAAATGTGAAATGATAGTTTAAACAATAGTAAACTAAACAAAGCTAGTAAATACTCATACTATTAAACTAAAATAATGTAACAAAATGAGAACAATATGCATCATAGTAAGAAATACTATAAAACAATATAAAAACAACAGACAATTTATTTTGTTAAATTGATTTTTCACGATAGTTCAAAACTTTCAATGTGTTTTATCATATCAATAAATATTTATATCATTTTATATATGTACAGCCGTCATACGAACACCGTCTAAAATTATGTCATTTAAGACGCATCAATATCAATAACCTTTTCCATTGATGTGGACCACTATTTTAGCGTCCCTCCAGCACCATAAAATTGTGAACTTTATCATAACCAATCAAAATTGTAAATTCCATTCTTATTTCTCTTCATAATATTCAACACATAGTATAAAAGCTTGCATGTGTCGTCGATCTTCCTGCCTTCGCATGCATCGATCGGCTCCCCAAGTAAGCTGTTCATAATCGGAGTCATTTTAGATGGTTTAGTCTCATTAAATGTTGACCTTCTGTTGATCTGATTTAGGGTTTAGGGTTTAGATTCGACTATGTTAAGAAAGGTAGAAATAGATCTAAAAAGACTTGGGCATGTAGGTATAAAATGATTTTAATTTATTAGAATGAAATGAAAATGCAATACTCAAAAGGCTACAATGGAGAAAAAAGATTCATGTAGCCGACCCCACTTAGTGGGATAAAGACTTGTTGTTGTTGTATTATAATATTTATATATGTAATCAAATTTCATTTAAATAATCTATTACAAGTAATATGAGCTACTATCTAGTTTTTCACTAAGAATTTAATAAATTACTAGTTGAACAATAGATAAGTTTGTTCACCAGCATAAATAAACGAGTTGAACGGTGTCTAGATTTTATTTATTTAGTATTGTTGTTCTTAAAAGTAGTTCCAACTTTTTTTTAAATTTGAAAAAAACTTAAATAGGTATTAATCGAGTTGAGTTCTAGTTGTTCATCGAGTGCATTGATTCATTTACAAACCTACTTATAATATCTTTCATTAACTACTTTTAATGTTTTTATTGCTCAATCTGGTCTGGATAATCTTTAGTCATTGGGATCTGCTACAAAACAAATTTTCTCTTTCAAGAGTTCAACTTTTTCGATAAAGAAAAAAGAGATTTACATGCATGAAACCAAATTTTTATCTATTAGACTATTACCTAACACTGAATTTCTTAATTTTTAATAAAATGGTTCAATCTTAAAATGGTCTCCTGACTTTTAAGATGTGGCAATTTAGTTCAAAAGTTCTGCAATGCTCCAATTTAGTCCTATGACTATAGAAACTTGATTCTAGTTTTTCTTTCGGATTAAATTGAAATAATTTTTTTTGTGGTCTCCTGACTTTTAAGATGTGGCAATTTAGTTCCAAAGTTCTGCAATGCTCCAATTTAATCCTATGACTATAGAAACTTGATTCTAATTTTTCTTTCGGATTAAATTGAAATAATTTTTTTTGGTCTAGGGACTAAATTGGGGCACTTCAAAACTCTTGGATTAATTTGTCACAATTGAATAGTTGAGAGACCATTTGTGGATTTATTCGTCTACTTTTATAACAATCTATTGTCTAACACAAATCAAAAAATATATATATGCATAAAATGGTGTATATCACTTTATACAAGTTAATGTAAGCGACATTTTTTATATGATTTACAGATTGTTGTGTCATATAAATAAATATAAAGATTTGTGTGCTTGATATGTAAATAAATAAGATTTCAGTGGTTATGCTTGTATATCCTCCATGAATCATTTTGCATTGAAAAATCGAAAGCTAATTTGCCTTCCCATCTGCAGAAACTAAAGATGCTCTCTGCTCAAGAACTCTCTATCGATGACCTTCAGATCTAACTCGCACAGCCATTACAGAATCGACCGTTTTTGGGCCCGCAGAAACATTTTTTCCATCGCCAGTGATCTCTTTAACCTGTACGTGTTATAAATTTTTTATTTTTATTTTTTATAATCTTTGCATTCAAGATCCATGGTTATATTTTTTTGAACCTGGAAGCAAAGTTTCTTGAGCTTGGGCACATTGTTTTGGCACTGCTTCGTGATGTAAAGAAATAGCTCCCAGGAATTTGAATTGTACATAGTTTGTTTAACATAACTAGTAATAACTTGATCTGAAATATAAACCCTTTGTTGTTTTTTTTTAGGTTATTGACTGAAAATGATTAGATGTAGCAGATATGTTCCGTCTTTGCCTCTGTATCATTTACATTGCATGTCATCAAATTCTTTCTATGTTACATTTTTGTCCCCCATCAAAGCATAAACTTGAAGTCAAAACGTAGAGGCTTGCTTGGCCAAGGAGTTCTGCTGCAGTTCTTGCATTCTTTTAGTCTTCCAGCACCACCCCTTTGCTTTGTTTTCTTTTTTATTTCTCGGTTTATTCGAACATGCTGCTCTTTGATTACCTCAAGACTCTTCTACTCCATCCTTTGAGCTTTATTTCCATCAATTTCTCATCCATTGTTACCTGTTTCTCCTCAACTTCCTTGAAACCCTTTTCCTCCGGCTTAATCTGCTCCTTTTGAAAAGCTTCAAGCCTCATTGTTCCACAAACTTCTTTTGGAAATCTGCAGGGGGCATATGGTCTTGGTTTTCTTCTTCCATTGCCATTTGTCGCCCTTACTCCGCCAGTATTGCTCGTCTGTTCTCACAAGGAGTAACAGGAGTAAAGTGCCAAAATAGACTCCTGACTATTTAAATTGGTTCATTTTTATCTTAAAGTTTATTACTATTCTGAATTAGTTCCCTAACTATTTCAGTGGGGGCTAAAATATTCCTTACTGAGGACTATTTTAACTCGTATTAAAAATAATTGGGATTAAATAAACAAACATTTTTATAAATCTGGATTAAAATGTTATTCTGCATAGAGCCAGCGATCATCTCGACACTTTTCTCTTCTCAATATGATTCGCTTGGATCCCTGTTGCCCAAATGCACAAATACTAATCTGCAGGAGTGTCAATCTTCTTAGGTCCTATGGCTAGAGTCTCCTCTTTTAAACACCAAAGTCCCCTTTTGGAACTCGAACCACTACGACTATGAAGTTGAAAAAGCTTTTGCTCGAGCCATATGCAACTTGAGCTTGGTTATTCGAGTTCAAGCTCGCTCATGAGCCGGCTTGGTTATCCTGAAAAAGCAAAAGAAATATTAATTAAAGTTAGTTTTATATTAAACTGATAAATAGAATCAGTAATTTGATCATAAATAATGAGAAATCACTTGATTCAAAATATAAAGTATTAATTTTGCATATTTTCAATAATTTAGAGATAAAAATTTAAATTTTAATCCATTTTGTATCAAAAAAATTTTAAACGAGCCAGCTAACCAGTTTTGTCGGGAGGTTGGCTTGAATTTAGCTTGGTTCACAAGCCACTTATGAAGCCCTTATCAAGCCCAGCACATGTTTCACTCACGCTCCTACTTGCTCCAACGAGCGAAGCTCAAGTGCTAAATGATTTATGGTTGCAGACCCTCTGTAATTATAGTAATTACAGCGCACGGTCATTTATTTTAATCCGAATAATTGGGTTTGACAGAGTAACTCTGGACTTTTTGTTTATTAGAACATTTCATGTATGGAAGATTTTCTAGCATTTATTTGCATATCTAACATCTTAACTTTGATTTTTATATTTATACCACTTTACCCATTCTTGAAAAAAAGTTTAACTTTTTAATAATTAATAATAGCAATATTTTTGATGTTATCTGAAAGATTTGAGTGTTATAAATGTAAAAATTAAAATTTAACTTCAGGATATGTAAAAACATATAAATTATGTGCATGCATGTAAATGCCCCTTTATATGTTTACAAATGCAAAATTGCTAAAAATTTTAGTTGGATCAGCTTCCTACTCTGATGGATGTCTTTTGAGATGAATGGCTTGCCAACATTTATTTATTTTTGGACATTACATTATAACAAATGCGCACGGATGTGATAGGGCTTTCGATGGGCTGAGTTGGGTTGAGCTCAAGTTGCACTCAATTCGATCCCGAGCTTAATTCTATGAATTTGAGTCAGTTTTACGAATCAACTTGCTTGTTTTGAAAGAGAAAAAAAATATTATTAATTTAAGCTTGTATTGTAATAGAATGACAAATAAAATAGCAATTAAAGGATAAATTATAAAGAATAACTTAATAAAAGTGAATATTTTTAAATATTTTAAATAATTTAAAATGAAATCTTTAATTTTAATATATTTTGAATATATTTTATATTTATATTTTTATAAATGAGTGAGCTGGCTCATGAGTTGATAGGTTGAGTCATGGGTTGGCTTGCATTTGGAGCGCTAGAACATCGAACGGCTCACGAGCAACTTATTGAGTCGAGCTCTTGTTGGCCCGTTAGTCAGCTCGACTCTTTTTCGCCCCTAAGTGTGATTGAGGGCTCCAATGTAATGCTCATTATGAGGCGAGCTCGAAGACCCAATAGGCACTATGGACAATAATAGTCACTATCGAAGGTGATGGCAAAAATTTGGCTCCCTTATGTGTAATCACAAGTCACATGTCGAAAGCACACAACCCTAATGAATAAAAAATTTGTAAGAGTGAGTTGGTTTAGTTCAAAAGAAAGACAACCACTTACCCTTTCATGTGAGCTATTCATATGGCTATGGACTTAATGGCGTCACTTCTTGCTGGGGCTTTAAGCCTTTAATACACTGCTATAAACTTACATTATATTAGATTTGACCATGCCAAGTAAATTTTGATATTAGTTCAAATCTTTTGAATTGTTTGATATGCATATTTTTCTTCAAAATTTGTGCTTAATCACAAATGGATATTTAAGATTCAAATTACAAAAAATCTAAATAAAATGTTTATCTCAAACCAACTAAAATTTTTTTCCAAAATTATAAATTTTGAACTTAATGTAAACAAAATCATGAGAATTAAAAATTTCCATTAAAATCCAAAATAAGTGTCACAACCTGGCCTGAAGTTCGAAATTTCAAAGACGGGAACCGTTGGTTGGACGGATGAAACCTATATAACTATTTCATTTCACAAAAAAAAAAAAAAAAAATTCAAAGCACAAAAAAATTAATATATTTAATAAAGATATATTTACTACTGATTGTTTATATTTAAAAATTTACATCTAATAAAAATAAAACTCAAACTAAAATAATTATTAGATTGCACTCCACGACGCTTGTATGCGTGCTCCCTGGAGTCGATCTAGTCTATGACTTGTTTTTCTATAAATTGTTAGCAAATAAAGTTCATTATAAAACTAATCAGTGAGCAAATATTTTTAAATTACAATAATTATCATTTTAAAATATTTTATAAAATGCAGTAAAAAAGTAAAAGACTGTGCAGTAAAATAAAACAATAGCAAAATAAATTTCATTACTTTCAGTTATTTATGTTACATTTTTCATTATTACGAGTTATCGTTTCAACGTATAGTTTATACAAATATATATTTAATTTTTTTTTAACCCACTATAAAAGCATATAATCTTTTCCATTTGCATATTTATTTCTATTTTCGTGCACTGGTACATTGTACATTGCATTTTCACTGGTACATTGTACATTGCATTTTCTTACCACTATTATCAGTGGACTTCCATTTGCATGCATATATCATTTTTTATTCATTTTTCTTGAATTTATAATAAAAAAACAATTTTTTTTTGCATTTACTATAAAAAGTCCAAAACAGAAAATAATCAGAACTATTGTAAAATAAAACATATTTTACACCTCTTCATTATTGTCTATTATTATTGTCCTATCAATTTAGTTGTTAGATGCACATACAATAACAATTTATATGTAATTAGTTTTTTGTTCACTGCTACTCTTCTTTCCTATTAATTCTCATTTTGCTAATATTGTTTTCATAATTTATTTATTTAATTAGCTATGTATTTAATTATATAAACATCGAATCGATCAGACGATGCAAGTGAAAAGAGGTGTCCTAACATATAAAATTAATTCATTTTCATTCATTTTTTTATAATAAAATTCATAAATTTTTTTAATTGGTTATTATTACATTAAGTCCTCAAAATCATTATTAAAATAAATAAAAATTATTACATGTGAAATTCATATCCATCCCCATCCTATATATAATAATATTATACAATGTTATACATATATTATATAATACTCTTAACAATTTTACCCATGACGTTTAAACCACCTGGATAATAGTACTCCCTGAGCAAGCCATTTTCTCGAAGCAATGGCGGGCCGGCTTCCTCTCGTCGTCCTTC